TCATTTAAATCATAGCTACATAAAGTATTTGGGATTAATAGGCTACTAAATTAAGTTTTCTTCTACAGTCTACATACATAATGTTAAAGAAACATTTTGGTCGGTGTTGTTCCCGCTGTACATTAAAACTACAGATTTTTAATGTTAATTCATAATTTCTTAATTTCGAGCTCCGGTTTTATCTCCTTTATGCCGCTAAAATGAAATTTGTCGGTAGTCTGGAAATTTCTGGGCTGCAGCTGTTCGACTCTGCAGAAATATTCCAATGACTCACCGGCTGACTCACCTACAAAACTATCCATCAATACTGTGATCGGCTAAAGTGCTTTTCTACATTTTACACCAACAACAAAGAGACTCTTTATTCAGACCCGAGCTGCGGCGAGGCTACAGAGAGCAAAACGAACATGTCGCAAAAAACTACAAACTCTTTGAAGAAGTTTACATAAATACAGAACACATAATGGAGATTATTTTATTTTATGTCTCTTTTCTAAAGGGGGGAGGGGGGGGGGGGGGGGGGGGCATTATAGCGTGCATGTTTATCTCCTCAGTCAAGTCCAGCCCCTCTCTGTCAGGAGCCTCTCTGGCTGCTGCTGCACTAATCTTTCTCCATTTTGCTTCTGGAAAACAAGCCTGTCTGTCAAAGCAGAGGCAATAAAAGTGAACTGCTGTTTGGTGTAATCAAACCAGCTGCTGTGTGTGTGTGTGTGTGTGTGTGTGTGTGTGTGTAAGTGCAGTGAAAACTGTTTTCTCAACTGAATTTAAAACATATGCAGTTTTTTATTTTATATATATTGTATTGTTGGTATTTTATTCTTTTATGCTGCTGAGCTGTTACAATCTCTGAGACTTTCACTGTATGGACGGAGGCCAAAGTTTGATGAGTCATGTTTCTATTGACTAATGTGTGTATTACAATTCATACTGTATGAGCAGATTGTACTAAAGTAAAAGCACTCATTATGTAGAATGTGCCCATCATATCACTGGATTACTAATTTTAACTATAATAGCCTAAATACTGCAGCAATATTTATGCTTTTTGTTGATTATATTTCGTATAAATAATCTGAATCTGCTAAGTAACAAAAGTAACTGCAGCTTTCAAAAAGATGAGAGTGCAGTACAATATTGATATTCAAAGGTTCAATATTTCACTCTTGAAAACAGTTGGGTAGAAGTACAAAGTAGCCGAAAATGGAAATATTCAAATAAAGTAGAAGTAAAGCAGTAGCAGTATAGAGTAAGTTTAATGAAAGATCAGATGCTTTATGAGAGTTTTTCAGGGTACAAACCAGATTTTATTAACTGCAATATGAGGAGCTTTACTGTTTTATTACATTCTTCTCTTGTAACCAATATTTTATGTGATTGTCCTGTTATTATGAATCAGCAGCAACAAAAATCAAGTTAATAAACATAGACTCTGTAAAGAAAAGTATATAAAAGTATAATATAAAGTTTTACTCACTGATGTTACTACATTTCTGGCTCAGTATCTATAAGTCTTTGATTGTTTTTCGCTTGGAGATGCAAATTGTCCAAACTTCCTCTGCAGCTATAAAAAGCAATACTGTAAGTTTTTAAATAAGAAATATCACATCCCTCCTTTTACAAATGAAAAGTTCAATTAGTAAATGTGCATTTGGTCCGTTCACTCAGGGGTTTTGCTCTGTCAGCCTCACTTGGTCTAGTATGAGAAGCTACCGGTGACTAACTTAATATTGATTACGCTGTAAAACAGACATTACTGAGCCAGTTTACTGATTAGATTATTCTTCTCCACTTATACATACTGTTACACTTTTCTGTGCTTAACATTATCACGTAATTGTCACCTATGGTCAACGTGTACATAGTCTCCTTTTTACAACATGGCAACAGACTAAGTCATCTCTAAATTTAACCATTTATCAAAAATGGTTTTACATGCTGAATTCTTCTGAACTTGATGCCAATCCATCACTTCGAGCATCCTCCTCTCTCTCTGTCCTACATGCACTCTCGGTCTGTAGGTCGACTCCAGAAGCAGCAGGTACTACCGGGGAGGGTGAGGGGGGCCCTCCGGCTGCGGCCCCAAACCTCACCAGCAACAGGCGACTGCAGCAGACGCAGGCACAGGTGGACGAGGTGAGGAAACGGCTGTTACTGTTGACGCTCGCCTGTTTGGTTCTGTGGTGCTTTTGGCCTCGACTGCATGTGTTTTCACTGAGCTGCTGTTTAACATCAACGGGAGTTCTAGTTCACCACAAACTGTCAATGGCAACACAGTTATGGAGGATAACATTACCCTAATATCAAATTGACCCATTTACTTCTCCTTAATCACAGCTGAGCAAGAACCTTTCTGAAGAATTACAGTTGAACTATGTGTTTAACAAATAGTGACACACTTTACTTGCTCAAATGAACAACGTGTTTATTTCATTCCAACAAAATCGGATGAAATAAAATTAGAAGAGACCAGGCAGAAGAACTCAACATAGCTTTGACATTTGACCTTTAAGGTTCAAGGTTCAGCTTGGGTTAGGGTGACGATTATACAGTGCAGGATTGCTATCAGTGTACATAATATGCAGGTTTTAGTGCACATACTTCCGAGGCCAACACAGAGGAGTTCTTAGAAAGCTTTGTAAACATGAGCTGGCTTTTTTTTTCTACATGTGACAGTGATGCTGACAGGTGTTGTCCCTCAGGTGGTAGACATCATGCGCGTGAACGTGGACAAAGTCCTGGAGAGAGACCAGAAGCTCTCGGAGCTGGACGACCGGGCCGACGCCCTGCAGGCCGGAGCCTCGCAGTTTGAGAGCAGCGCCGCCAAACTCAAGAACAAGTACTGGTGGAAAAACTGTAAGGTGGGCATGTTTGGTGTGTGCGTGTTAGTGTGTTTCCCATCAAGCATTGGACCTACACAGTACTACACAAAGACTGTAGCATCCATCCCTCAGTGTAAGTACATTACCCCTGTCTCAGCAATGATTCAGTTGGCATGTCTCACACTCCTAAATTAAAGCTAATATCTAATGTTGCAACATTTTCAGTATGTGATACCGATGTGAAACCAGATTTTAGCTTCTGCTCAGAGATTCTAGTCTGGAAAACTTGTGCTGAATTGGTTGAGAATGGCAGTTGGAAACTGGATAATCAGAAAACTGCATGTAGTCCTAACTGGTTGAAAGCTGACCAAATTGCCTGCAAAGGTATTTCATACAGTATCTTCTCAATGCCTCTAAGACAAGAAAAACAAATAAAGATGTGGGGCTACATTATTTCAGTGGCTCGATAGAAGAAGGAAATATTTGTTCAAAAACTCTTAAGCAGGTGCTTGACTGAACAAAGCAGGAGATGAATGAAATGAAATAAGAATCCACCCTAATAATCCTCTATAATCATCTTAATTGCAGCAACATCTTCATCCATCATGGACATTTTATGGAAGTAGCAATACCACAGTGTAGAAATACTCTGTTACAGGTAAAAGTCCTGCAATCAAAATTTAACTTAAGTAAAAGTACATAAATATTAGTATCGAAATATACTTAAAGTACCATGTGGAGTGAAAAGTTAAATATTTGCCCCCAAACTATGAGACAGTAAAAGTATAAAGTAATATAAAATGGAAAATTAAGTAGAAGTATCATATCACATTCCACTTCTGGAAATGTGTGCGGCACAAACAAAAAATGTGTGTTTTTGGAGGGCTGCTGTCCAACTTTATTAGTTGCCACTTGCGCATATCTTGCATTTTACATGGACACCATTGTGTTATTATATTATATCTATTTGACAAAGTCTGTGACGGATGAAGAGGTTGCAGCAGTTGTAATTATAGTGACAGCAAATTCAGTGAGCGGATTCAAATTTTTGCCTTCAATATCTGCTACACTGGCTCAGCTAAATTTCCTTATAGTTCATTGAATATAATGCTGGTAATAAAAGACCAGTACTGATGTTTTAAAATAAATTTAACTTCACTGTTTAAAAACAAAGCAAGGAAACCACTCGTTCAAGATTGGAACGTGTGACTCCAGACAGCTTTTTGCAGTTTACAATGCATGAGATATTTGATGCCAGTAAAAAAAAACTTTCCAGGTTTTCAGCTGCGTAATCAGTTTACAGTTGTATGCTGCAAGCTGCTGTGTCAGTATACCTGTGTGTGAAAAGAGCGGTTGCTGTGGGTTCAGGCTGCCTTAGCCTTTAGGATAAAATAAGCTCTTCATGCACACGGGGACAGGAAGCACGCTTCACTGCTCACCTCCTCATCACCTTCCTGCAACTTTACTCTGCATATTAGATTAAATTAATCTGTTGGTTATTTCTGCTGAAACTTTCAGTGTTTTTGGGTAACACAGTGAGAGCAACTTGAAATGAGTGTGAAAAAAGAAGCTTATGTCGCAGTTGTTGCAAGTCAGCCAAGAGTAAAGTGCACAGTGACAGAAAACAGTTGCTGTGTTCACACACAATGTAATAAAGTAAGAAAAGAAATAAGGACGGGGAAACAGGAGATTTGTTTACAAATAGACTGTGAGACAGGATCTCAGTTCTAGATCAGTGAATAGATTTTTAATAAGAGAGAGATTTTGGTCAAAATCTAGTCCCACTAATTTTGATTAGTAGATTAGATTAGATTAGTAGACGTCTTCTTTGGTGTTTAGAGCAGTAAACACATAAAGTACCTGAAATTTAGCATCAGTCCAGATTTCTGTTTAGCTTTAAGATAAGATTTTATTGATCCCACATCGGGGGAAACTTGTCTCTTGTTACAGCAGCTCCAGATACAACACAACAGATTCACATTAAATAAAAATAGGATAGAAAAATACAAAAGAGAAGAAATAGAAAAATAAGAATATAAGAGTTATGTGTACACTATATAGACCTTTTGTACACAGATGTGATTGATATGGAACATTGCACATTGCACAGGCCACAGCAGGAGGTAGTTGCACAATGTAGAAGTAAATATTATTGTACAGGACAGAATATATCCAGCAGTATAGTTTAGCAGTCTGGTTGCCTTCTACCCATGAAACCTTGTTGTGTGTTGACTAAGAGTTTAAATATTGTCGTTCACACCTGGACATACAAACTGAACTAAAAGAGTTTGAATTGTTTAAGGTTGGGTCGTTCATGATTGTGTAAAAATGCACCACAATGACATAATCATAATAAACTCTCTGTAATAGACATTTCCTCTGCCTGCTTGTTAGATTTTATCTTTAATTTTAATTTTTGAACACTTTGGACTACTCTTTCGCTGCAGTTTGTGACGGTCCCTTACGGACTGACTGAGGAACCTTGAGACTATCAGCTAACTTCGCTGACTTCTGTCAAAAGTAAAGCTCAGTAGTCCTGTAAAATTGTAAATATGCAATAACAATATTCAGCTTTGTGACACTGATTTTCCAGCTGATCCAAGGGGGGTTTAGTAGGTAATGTTCAATATTTCCCTCTGAGATGTATTGGAGTACAAGTTGCATAAAATGGAAATACTAGTACTTCAATTTTGTTCTTAAGTACAGTACTTGAGTAAAAATCAAAGCAATGTGCTGAAGCTGTGGTTGCATGTCCCTGTATGTCATTCTGGATCAGATCATCAGCTGAATGAGACTGAAACAAAGTTCAGTTTGACTCAGCCGCCATCTTTATCCCTCACTCACCGCCATCGCCACATCACTCTGTCCCCCATTCATCCATTTATCCATCCACCCGGGCCTCGGCCGCCAGTCCATTTTTATCTCTGCGTCAGGTCATCCAGAGGCGGGGGCGCCTCTGATGGACAGACAGTGCCGTTTCAGATCATCCAATCAGAACCTGCCGTGTAGACAGGCAGAGGGGGATTACATTAGAGAGTTTGACTGACAGCGACCAGGAAGTCAGAGAGAGAAATCCCAATCTGGATTACAGTGACAGTCGGGGATTAAAGAGCCAGCTGTGATTTGTGATGTAACTCCACCTACCCCCAATACACACACGTGTTTGACATAATGCATTCTCTATCCTCTAACATTGACCCTAAACAACACCAACGTCCGTTCTGTGTGTTGTTTATTTTGATGACTTTAGGAGGAGTTTGCACGTTCACGCAAAAGTCTAAAACTGGTGATAATTGTCTTATTGTCAACAAATCACATGAAAAGACAGAAACCATGAGTACATGTATCTACTAAGAAGTACCGTGTGTGTATCACAGCCTGATATATCTTCTTCCTCTGAGCCTTAGAGCCCCATCGTTGGCCAGTTTCTTTAGACTCAGTCCCACATACACCGTCCTGCTGCACCAAATACTCACCAAATATGGATTAATCCGCCACTAAAAATAGTCCTCCTGTTTGGTAAAAACTACGGTGACCAGCTGTTTAAGGATATTACTGAGCCTTTTTTAAAATAACACTGTAAATTGGATTTGTTGACAATAAGAAAAATATAGAATAAGCTTGATTCCCTTTTATTCACACACACACACTCAAACACGTCAATCCACTAAGATCTGTTTCTACTCCGCAAACACACACACACACACACACAAACACTCTCTCTCTCTATGTTCATGTTAATCTCTCTCGCCCTCCTCCCCATCAGAGGTGATGTGATTTCCTGTCTATCAGCCGATCTGACTGTCACTGTCATCATTTATTTACTGTATGTATTTTGGTAGTCCACACACACACACACACACACACACACACACTCTGCATATTGTCCTCTAACCAAAAACATGATTACAAGGTCTGCAAAAAGAAATTTAAAGGACCAACACATGTTGAAAATTTAAAGTACATTTACTCCAGTGCTGTACTTACGGAATTTATTCCTTTCCTTGAGAATTTAAATTATATGCTACTTTATACTTCTACTTTACTACATTTCTGAGGGAAATACTGTACTTTTTACTCTACTACATTTATCTGACAGCAACAAAACAAAATATACGGTGCAACAGATTGAACGATCCAGCAGTATATAAAGTAGTTGAAATGTGCTCCACCTCCACCAGCTGTGACATTACAATTCTGCTTATGTGTTCAAGCATCAGTAATATTTCAAGCACTTTAATACTTTATGTACATTTTGCTGTTAATACCTTTGTACTTAGTGAAATCTTTGTATTTCTACTTACCATCTCTATGACCTTGTGATGACAAAAACAGACAAACTTCCTGGAAATACGTTCGCTTGAGGCTGAGAAAGTTTTTTTTGTTGTTGTTGCTGATTTCATAATAAAATATTTATCTTGGAAGGATTATTTCATCTCGCGAGAGAGTAGCTTTTGTTCTGACTTGTTGATTTTTGTTTTTCTTCCAGATGATGATCATCATGGCAGTTATAGGTGTTATATTTGTTGGAGTCATCTTCTGTAAGTAACACAGCTCTGCAGCCACACGAGCGCACACACATCTTTTTTTCCTCTTTCAGCAGACAGGCTTTTCTTTTCAAAAATATGTTAACAAATATCAAACAACACTCCTGCAGATTTGCAAAGTGGCTATAAAATGTTTGTAGTTTGGTGCTTCACAGAAAACAGAGGCTGTGGACAGTTTGAGTTCCTGTTGGTTAAATAGAACATACATAGAAACTTTCTGCACAAGTATTTTTTGTTTAAGAGAATTTGTGTTGTTCTTCTTTTAGTTTCTTTTATGTTTTTTTAGAGTTTTTTTGGGGTGTTTTTCTTCTGATATTTCCTCAATTTGGTTGTTTTGATCAGACAGCTTTGGTTGTTGTTTGAATGAACCTTTTGTGGATCACCTTAGCACTATTCTTTCTTAAGTGTTTGCTGATTCTTTGACCTTTTGTCTAGTGCCACCATCAGACCAGTATTCCCTCTGAATGAATCTTCATAATTTTGATAAGGCCCTAACCTTTCCTCTAGTGCCACCACCAGGCAGAAATTTAAACTCCCCTATTTTGGAAACTCCACCAGCATTTCTACTGCTTACCTGCGAAAATGCAAACAATTTCTATGACCCTGTGACCTTTCCTCTGGCGTCGCCCTCAGGAATCTCTGCTATTGCTATTCTTAGAGCCACGAGCGAGGCTAGCGGGACTTCAGCTTTTATTCCTGTTTGAGGGAAACTGCAGGCAGAGAACATATTTTTCACTTCACCAGAGTGTATGATATTAGAAAAAATGAGTTTCTTTTGTTTTGTGCAGAACATCAGTGAAAATGTTTCACACAAAGTCTATTATTTTGATTATAATCACTCAGGTGAAGGCAATTAAGTAGCTGTTCTAGAGCTTTCGATCAGATCACATGATCTTCATCAGGAGCAGGAATTTGCCCAGTTGGATTTCTTTTCCCTATTTTTAAATGTTACTTAAGCATTTATTCCTCCTTCAGTGTACTTCTTCTACTGAGCTGGTCTTCAGGGATGGACGCACAAGTCGCAGGACGAGTCTGCACCAACGCCACCGAGCCAAATCCAGCCTCTCCTCAGCTCTCCTCCTGCTCTTCATCCTCCTCTTCCTCACTGATGCCTTCCTCAGAAACGTCCATGCATGGTCTGTAATGTGCTCCAGTGCCTCCTTTTTTTTTCTCTCTCTGCTCCTCATGGAAAACATCTCTATGGGCAGGAATCCTGAGTTGACCTTGAGGGGAGCAAATCATCATAAACAAGAATTATTCTTACTGGTACTTCCTGTGTAAAGAAATATATTGTAGCCAGGGTGTAAACACAAAAATATCTTTCAAGACAGTATTTGCTACAAGTCTATAAACCACTGACCCAGGTTTGTTCATCGAGAACAAGTATCATGACAGGATAATGTTAGTTTATTTACTCTTATATGTGCGTGAGGGAGGAAAAAGACAACATCCCCTCTCCTGAGGAAATAAATTGTGATCTGTGGCCTTTTATGGCTTTCACTGGCCACCAGTACCTCTGCTGGTCTCCATCTCCTCCTGCCTCCTCAAGGTGCGACCAGTTTTTGACACACAAAGCAGTATTAAGCAGAAGAAATCAGACCTCTAACAGAAAGATCTGAAGGAGACTCGTAATGTGATGCAAGCCAATCATTTTATTTAGGACGTGTTCAGATGCTTTTATTTATGTGAAGTACCGATGCACTAATGTAAACGTACTCCTTTACAAGTTAAAGTAATGCATGCATTCAAAATCCTACTTGAGCAAAAGTATGCAAGTATTTTCAGTGAAATGTACTTCAAGTATCAAATTAAAGGTACTCGTTCAACTGTGATATATTATAGTACAGGATGTTATTAGAGTGTCAGTGCTGAAGCCTCATTGTGTTAGCAGCATCTGACTGTTGTAGCTGCTCATGGTGGAGCTAGTTTTAACCGCTTTATAATATACAGCGGTTACTTGTCCAGTGTTTCCAACCTAAAGGTCTGGGCCCCACAATGGATCCCAAGATAAATCTGAGGCGTCATGAGATGATTAATGGGAGAGCAAAGAAGAAAAAAAAAAAATCCACTATAGAAATCTGTTTAGAAATCTAATTTCTCTTGACTGTTTCTCTAGACTTTGTTTTTGTGATTTGCTATTTTGAACAGTTAATAAAATTAAACAATGTGAAAGGTCTGGAGGGGAAACTGTGGAACTAAAACCAAACATAACAAGGAACCTCAGCTAGATCAGGCCAAAAGGTTTCATCTTTAACAATGTATTTAAGGAGCTTATCACTATTTTTTTGTTGTAAAATCTTAATTAGTAAAGTAACTAGTAACTATAGCTGTCAGATAAATGTAGAAGAGTAACAAGGACAATATTTCCCTCTGAACTGTGGTGGAGTTGTATAAAGTAGATTAAAATGGGAATACTCAAGGCAGGTGCAAGGAACTCAAATTTACTTTACTACAGTACATGAGTAAATGTACATAGTTACAGTCCAACAATGTTTACTTATTCATTCATTCTTCCGCTTTGAATCAAGGTTTTATAGACCAGACATCTCAGCAGCTGGTGAAGTAACTGTTGAGTAAAAAGTATAAATCAACTGCTCTGTCATTTTTCACTTTTCTTAACAACAGTAACTGTAATTTTCTTTAACTCACAGCAGCATGAGCAGAACGAGTCAGGTCAGGAGATTTTTCACATTAGAAAATAAAGATCGTAAGACGTAGAGATACAAGAAATAAATGATATATTGTGTGTTGAGATTCAGCAGCAATTTAGGACTTGGCTCATATCAATAAAATAATACGGAAATAATCCAATTAATGGGAGATAATTGATTGGCACAGGGAACATGTAGCTGCTCCTGTTCATAAGTGTTGATGAGGAACTGAACCAACCTGGGTTATTGGATCCCTGCGGTGTTTCCCCCTCTCCTCTTGTCCAGGTGTATTGTACTTGTACAGTATTCTTCAGGTGCCCCCTTGCTGCCAGTATTGGTACTGCTACTGATGTATTTCCACCTTAAGCAGAAATGTCTCTTCCTGGAGAAATATGACGGGAACAGTTTAGATTTTTTGTTCTCTGTCTCTCCAGCATCAGCTTGAGTAATTGTGATGCAGCAACAGTCCTGTTTTTATTTTTTATTGTCTTGTGATCCAACCTGTGTTTTGTGTACTACAGCTGTGGTTTGAATGTTTCTTTGTTCTGAACGTGCTTGAATGTGATTTATCTGTAATAAAAATTTGAGTTTGAGTGGGCGTTTTATCTACAATGAGAGTGTAGATATGAAAAGATCTGATTAAATGTAAGGAAGGATAAATGATTGGATTTTAAACTGATCGGGTGAAGTGGAGCATTAATCCCACTGTGTTTAATGAAAATCAGGATCAGTGCTTCTTCAGCGGCGATGGATATCAAAAGGTTAGGAAAAGTGAGGAACTCCACATTTCACATTTAAAGAAGTTATTAGAGTTAGTTATTCTGATTATGGCCTGGGATTGCGCTTAAATTCATGTTTACAACAGAACTGTAGCGTCCAAGCGCCGATTTACTCTGAAAAGGCGTTTTATTTTAACCTGCTGTTGGAAAATAACCCAAAATGAAGTTTTTAAAACACGGTGATGTCTTCTAGAGGGTGACAAATAGGAATTGCAGTATTGATTAAAAAAAAGTTAATTTCAAGTTTGTAGTGTTCAATACACATTTAAAACATCAAACTGTACACAGTTGTTCAATGCAAAACACAACAGGAAGCTGAGAAAAGCTACAAAAACATTTTTAAAAATTGCAATTAATGGTGAGACAGCTGGAGACAAAGGGAACACAAGAAAATGGTATTTAATCTTTTGCCGTGTCTTTGTGAAGTTCCTAAAGACAGTTTGATGTCTTTTGAAGCAACTAAATTTCTTGTATTAAAAAACAAAAAAACCCAGATTTAGCTGTGAAGATGGCCGAAGATTTTACTTTCACTTGACACATTTCGCAAAGCTTGAAATTTGTGCTGAAAATCTAAATTTTCTTAATCCAAGTAGGATTGTTCAAAAATAAATAATTCACTTAACCTAACAGAGGATTACAGGAGCTCCATCTTCACTAACTAGTGTCAGAGTTTCAACTTTACAGTTTCTTACAGAAAATAAAATGACTTGGGCTTTACGCTGGGAATTTTGCTCCGGTGTGAATTTGACCATCATACACCCCCCCCCCCCACATCAACTGGCCACAAACAAATTCTTTATTACATTTTTTTTATTTAGGTCCCAAAAAACCATCATAATAACATTATATCAATAATATTAATACAGAAATTGAAAAAAGGAGGAAAAAAAATAAAATAGTTTTTCTGTCCACAGCCTCAAACTTGGGAATCGGGAAGGGATTCGATCCTCCAGAAAAACTCTGTAAAGTCTGTTTTTGGGGTGGGGGGAGTGAACTGGGCGTGGCTTCAAGCTTGAGCGCGCTGTCCATCTTTCTGCTGTGCACCAATCAGGAATGTCGAGGTGAGGCAGGGGGTGGTTTTCGAGGTAAAGAGCAGAGTTTCAGCCTACTGCTGCGACATCTGAAGGAGGAAAACAGAAACAAGGAAGTTGCTTTGATTTGCCCTCTGCTCATTTTTAATGAATAAATATTAAAGGAACCGTTGCACATTTTGGGGTGTCGGCTTTCTTACTGAGAGTAGGATAAGAATAACTCTCATATGGGCGCAGTAAATATAAGGTTACAGTCAGCAGCTGTGAGCTTGGCTTAGCACAAAGTCTGGAAATGGGGAACAGCGTCAAACTAAAATCGGCCAACCAGCACCAGTGTTATTTGGACAAAGTCAGGCTAGTTGTTTCACCCTTCTTCTAGTCTTTATGCTAAGCCTCTCCATTTATTGTACAGACATAACTTTGCAATCAAATCTTCTCATCTAAGATTCTGCAAGAAAGCATATAAGCATTTTTGAAAGCAACACTGACGAGCTTTGTGTTATAGTTTTGAGAAAATGCAATAAAAAAATTTATTTCAGGCCTTTTTTAAATGTGGCAACAAAAAACAAAATAACTGATGTTTGAATGAGTTAAAAAAAACTGCCGAAGCCAGAAAACAATTCTCAACATATTCCAATCAACGGTAGAAATCATGTTTAACTTCCTGATACATTTCCTGCAGGAAGCCGTGTCTCCTGATGAACCTTGAATCAGATAAAACTGAATCCATTTCTAGACATCTTCCTGTCCATATTTACTGCACTCCGCCCGGTAATGAATAACGGCGTGTCTGTGTGCGTTAACTGTGGGCAAGTCAAGGCTGCAACTATTGTTTGGTTTGTATAGCAAATATTCTTGCAGATCTTCTAAGAAACGGTAAAATACGACGGGTGTAAAATGTTGTTGACAGTAATTTATGAATTATGTTGAAGATTTGATTGTGAAAGTTGTTTTTCTATTTTTATTTCTTTTTTTGTTTAAAAACTGGATACGCAGCACTCTCAGTCATTGGTGGCCCATGTGTGCTGGGCATAGTTGTGTGCTTGGCACATTCATTCATACAAACACCTCCTGAACTTCCTTGTTCTCACATAATAATGTGTATAAAAATAACAAAATAGGAACAAAAGGCTGGTTTTCACAGGTAAAGTTTGACGCTTTTAAACACCTTATTTTATTGCACTGTTGGCAAGAGACAGTGATAATGACACTGACCACACACACACACACACACAAAAGAGATTGTTATTTAAACTGTTTATCGAGTTTTAGACCGATGGTTCGGGCTCTGTACCTGTTGTGTCTGTGCCTGTGTTTGCGTCTCGGGCCCTCGGCTTGCCAGCCGGCTCAGGATGTTCCTCTCAGACATCTGGAGTCGCACCGCAACCGGCGGTATGCGCGCGATGGTTGCCGGAAGGCGGGTGACATCCGCCTTCATGTCGCTCAGTAGCTCCTCCAACTGCTTCAGCACTGAGAGAGAGAGAGAGAGATAATGAACTGTATTCACTCGCTGCATAGGGTGATCGGGACAGATAGTGGTTTTATTAAGGGTTTATTTTGAGACACATTTCATTAACCAAAATTGTTTTCTTTCCTTCCTTTGCTTTAGATTTTCCCCTTCAGGCTTTCATGTTCTGGCCTCAGTGTGAAGGTGCATTTTTATCATCTTAAGTTCATGTTATCTGCAGCAACAGCAGCAGCTGTGATAACAACAATGTATTTCATCACATTAATTACTTGTGCTATTTTCTCAAAAGAAAATAAGAACTAGATAAGAGAAAAATAAGTCTTTGAATAATGATTATAAAGTGTAATAAATGAGCACTAGGAAACAAACAAGTATTAGATTCACCTGTTTGACCATAAATAAACAAATAAATGCAAATAGTCGCTGTTATTTCATTGTGACGAGACAATAGGAGACCAGAACCTCACTCATACTGGCCAAGAGGGTAAATGTGATGCCGATTATTTGATCTGTGTGTATGAAAAGCACGTTTGAGATTTCCCACTTCCTGTCTCACCTTTGTGCAGGACGGCGTTGGCCGGTTTGTTCCCAGACATTGATTCCTTGCTGAGGTGCTGGTGGGACTCGGCCAAACACTCCACCTCGCTGAAGCGGGTGTTGAGGGCCATGGAGGGGTGGGAGGGGTCCTCTGACATGTTGAGGTAGGCGGCACGACGCAGCTGCTCCTCGATAACCAGCGCCTGCTCCAACAACTGGGGGCAGGGGGAGGGGGGGAAGTCAGCATCACAGTTAAATTAACATCTTCACATCTTTGTCAGTCCAGGTTTATTGGTAACAAAACATTTAAAGAGAGTTAATTGATTTATTTAGAGAGCAGAGCGGCTGATGGCCTATTTTATTAATTATATAGATATTTACATTTGCTTATGCTGTAGATTTCAGAACGTGACTGGTGTTTAAGGAGGAGCGGGAACTGTAGACTACATTATACTTACAGTTTAACAATCTACATTAAAAAGGTAAACCCACCTTGAACCTCCTGGCGAGAAACTTGTTCTTGATTTCCAGGAAGTTGCCTCGGTTCATCTCTCCCTTGAAAGGCTCATTGAGGATGGCGAACTTCACGTCGTTCTGGATGTCCTGCCAGCGGGCGTAACCATGTCTGCAGGCAGCCACGGTCAAGGGCAACAACTGCTGTGATTGGATAAAGACAAATCTCAAAACAACAATTCCCCTGTCACACTCCTCTCCAGTGAGATCCGTCAGCCAGTCACGGGTGGGAAAAGGATACTGTATGATGCCAGCCAGCAGCCAGTAGTCATGACGGCGGTGCCAGATCTCATTTGTTTTCTTGGTAACGGTGGCAGCGCGTTCCTCGTTCTGCCACAAAGAGTGGAGCTCTGAGAGAGAAGAAAGGTGTTTTAAGTAGTGGCCGGCGCTTTCATTTAACTCAGCTGCAGGGTTGGTACCTGGACCAGCCTTTTCTTGAAGGAGGATTATATTTCTAATTCCCTCTTTAGTATATTTGCTCATATTTTAGTATGTATATTTACGTATATCCCGTTTGCCCTGTTATAAATTGCCCTCTAGTGCTCCATTGAACAGAACCCCTTAATTCCCAACAAGGCTTTTATTGTGAAACTGTTGCAGAACAGTTTTGTGGAAAGAAACTTGGTGGGCTTCCATACGGTACTTCAAATGTAGCTGCTGCCATCTTGTGGCACTTGCATACACGCATGCATACCTGTGAATCCTCCATCAGCGATGTTGAACATGAATCTGCTCTTGGTCTTCTTCTTCTCCTCAATGGCTGCTCCTGCAGTGGCAGCGCTGGCTGAGGCGCCGCTCTCCTTGCTGGTATCTCCGTTCTGTAGTTTGGTCGCCTCCTCAGGCTTCTGAGCCTCCTTCTCCTCCTTCAGATCTGCAGCAGGAATGTGAAAGGAGACACGATTACTGACTAGACAGGCACAAAGAAAAAGGGGAGGAAAGGCTGATAGAGACCAACTGAGGATGATTCCACGAGGAGAATTACAAAAACCTTCAATAAATAAAAGTCATTACTTGTATTGAAGTTAATTTCCTGTTAATTACACAATCCTGTGTGAAATACTTAAAGCAAAAGAGGGTTTGGTACCTTTCTTTTCATCTGCAGGAGGACTGGTGTCCATCTTTTCTGTCTTTTCTTCTTTCTTTTCTTCGGCTGCAAAACAGAAGGCAACAGAAAAAAACATTATAACTTGCAGATTACAGTCAAACACAAAGGCACCGCATTCAAGTTTGTGTCCGAGACCAGATGTAAGTACAGGATCAAGCTCACGAA